CAGCACCGTTCTCCACGCCCTTCTGAGAGCCCCGATGGCACTCTGATGCATCTCCTACTTTGCTAGCTTCTCCTGCAACTCCTTCAAGGTGGCCTTGGCCCCGGCATCGTTCTGAATCTGCAACGTCACCTCGATCACTCTGGGGATAAAGTGGGCTATTGTTGGAATTCTTTCTCCAAAAGTCCTCTGGGGTGTCAGCGCTGGGGTCCCCAGTCTCACTCCTTCTGGCCACAGTGCGCTTTTGTCACCTGGGCAGGTGTTCTGGTTGCAAACAATAGAACAAGCTTGCTTTTAGCACCTTCTCAGTCCTTGCACCATCCGTGCCTTTAGAAAGGAGAATCACAAAGATCAAACAGTTGTCAGAACTACTTGTTACTTGTTATAACGCAGCTCCATCCGTCAGGGCCTGGGACAGAGCCACAGGGTATTGACAAGCTCTGAACTCTGGAGACAAGACTTGCTTCAGGGCCACAGCAACTGCAGCAGTGGCGTGGTTGTGGGAACGTCCCTGGAGACCTGGAAAGACAGCAGATTGTTCAAAATCTCTGCCCGTCTTGGGGTCCACACCATGCACTCCTCTCCTGTAGATGTCTAGTGAGTTGTGATAGACTCCACATGGCAGTGTTCAGAAAGTGAGGCGACCACGCCAGCTGTGACCAGCCCACTGGTGTGCACCGTATGTGCCATGAGGTAGGCCCCCTTATTACCGGCAAACTTCCTAATTGGAGTTTAGTCCAGTTGAGGGAGTAGCAGCTGATGCCTGCAATAATCAGCTTTGGGTGGAAAAGGCGGGCGGTCTCCTGCAGCTGGTCATAACTCAGGTAGGCCGTGTCTGAGTTCAGCTTACAGGGTATGGACTGGAAGATGGATGTGGTGGACATCTGCTTCTTGTCCACCATGAACCCATGAGTCAAATGGCCCTTATCGGGCCACTTCAGGCCCATGATGCGTCCATGAGGTTCCAGCAAGGCAGAGGACACTGCAAAGTTGGCAGGGAGCTGGAGTAGGGCTGGACATTGGTCCTCAGCACTAGGGGTCCAGGATATAGGCCTGAAGTAATGCCCACTTTGGGCAGAAAGCTTCCAGCTCATCAATGAACTCTGTTTCCACCATAAGACCTCTGTTTTTAATATGTTATTAAATAAGACCCTTGGGCCTCTAAAACAGCTCGACTGGCAAAATTCTCTGAGGGAATCAGATCCCATCCAACCTTCTGCCAATTACTCTCCTTCATATTTCCAGGGTTCTGCCAGCATCTCATCATGTGAGGTCCAGAGGTCAGCGTCCAGGGAACATCATTGACAGGAGCCACCATGAGACTGGTTTAAATGTTGCCGGAACAGACCAGCACACAGTACAGCAACATCACTTCCCACATGCTACACTCCTCGCTCTGCGACCCTGCTCAGCCAAGCCTACCCAGGGGTTCCCCTCAACATAGCCATGGTTTAGAGAACACAGTTTTATCCTCACAGATATCATCCATTAGATTTCAGGCTACTAGAACTTTTTAAAGTGTTGAAGAGCAGAGATGTCAGCTTGAGGACTAAGGTGCGCCTGACCCAAGCCATGGTGTTTTCAATAACCTCATATGGATGCGAAAGCTGGGCAGTGAATAAGGAAGACCGTAGAAGAATTGATGCCTTTGAGTTGTGGTGTTGGAGGAGAATACTAAAAGTGCCATGGGCTGCCAAAAGAAGCAATAGATCTATTTTAGAAGAAGTGCAGCCAGAGTGCTCCTTGGAGGCCAGGATGGCTAAGCTTCGTCTCTCCTACTTTGGACATATTGTCAGGAGATAACAGTTGCTGGAGAAGGATGTCATGCTGGGTAAGATGGAGGGTCAGAGAAAAACAGGAAGACGCCCAACAAGATGGATCAGCCAGGTGGCATCATTGATGGCGTCAAGTGTGCCAGCGGTAGTGAGGTTGGCCCAGGATCAGACATTGTTTCGTTCTGCTGTGCATGGGGTCGCTATGAGTCGGTTCCGACTCGATGGCACCTGACAACAACCACCACAGAGGGCAAAGACTGAGTCTTGTACTTCTTTGTTCTCTAAAAGAAGGTGTTTATTAAATGGTGACTAATGATCAGTCCTTCCACTGTTCCTCCACCTTCTTTTTTCTATACATTAAGATACAAATTAGCAAAAGGTGAGGAAGGGACTGTCCCCGAGTACCTATGACGCTGCTGGATGGACCCCACTCCATGTTCTTCTGTCTCTGAGCAGCAGCCTTACAGAACTCTGCCCATAACCAGAAATCTGACAATCCAATGTCCCTGTTGGAACCCTCTTTGTCAACAAGGACAGAAAGCCCAGTAAAGAAAGTATATCCTGAGATGAGGAGGTAAGCAAATGTCTAAGAAATTGAATATACTCTGCAAAGCTGCCAAAGTTCTTAGCTTCTCAGCAGTCTGGTAAGCGAGTGCTTTACTCTCCTGTTCTTTATTTTACTATGTGAATTTTTACCACCTATATGTACACATTTTTGTCAATGAAAAGGGTTTTCTTTAATTCTTCGGAAGGAAAATGAGACCCCTGTATTGCTTCAGTAGGTGAAATCCAGGGTCTATGCTGAGGTTCCTATTGCCTGCAGAGGTTGGTATTCTAAATGTCTCGGGCAATAGGTAAGATTTTACATCAGCTGGACTGAGCCAAGATTCTCAGTGGTTTAGCAGTGAAGATGTAGTAATGCCCTATGATGAGATCTAATTTAATAATAACTCCCATGATGCAATCTACTCTGAACTGACAATCAATTGAGAGGAAGTTTCCTCTTGGGTGTGGCCTGCTTCCAATAGATTGGATCCTTGCCGGGAAAGCTTGCTTGCTTTTTTTCTGGGTCTGCACCTGCATCTGGTTTGTCATCTGAACTCTGATTCTTTGGGGACTTGAGCCTGCTGTATTGGCCACTGATTGTGAGAGTGGTCATTAGCCTGCCATCTTACCTGCCAGCCTTGGTTTCTTTTGCCTTTGCAGCCAGAAGCCTGCTCTGACCAAACAATCTTGAGTTCAGCTCAGGAGTCAGGGCAAGCCTTCAATCTGACACCTGACTCTTGGACTTGGAGCTTTCCTGTCTCTACTGTGTGAGCCATTTCCTTGATCTAAATCTCTGTGTGTAAGTATGTATGGATATGGCTATATACATAAGCTTCACTGGTTTCGCTTCCATAGAAAACCCAGCCTAAAATAGGCCCCATCTTGGATCAGTGGTCAAGCTCAATGTCAGAATCTCTGGGATTGGCTGGAGGCTGTGGAGCACTTGGCACACTGAGACCTGGAAACCAAGAACTTGGTCTTGGCTCCCTCACTCGGTCAGCCACGGAACCTCTGTAGGAATCGGCTCCTGGAGGGTAGAACAGCTCACACTTCCTGCCTCAGTAATAATTTCTCCCTTGTCTTCAGGCTCCCAACAATCAAGAAAACTTGTAACTTACTTTCCTGGATCTAGATTATGTAAATGTCGGCTTTCAGTAGATGCTTTTAGAAAGTCATACAATGTTGTCCCCTTTCAGTTAAATAGATGCACCATCCCCCTCAACAAAGCTCAGCTGAACCATCTCTATGTTTCTCAACTTATTTTCTTAAGATTTTCCTCCTTCAACACCAGAATGGAGGTGCCCCTCCCAAATAGTAATTCCATGTAACTGAATTCGTTCATTGAGGAGTCGCTCCGGAGCTGCCCCCCCCTTCCCCCCCGTTCTGCGAACACACACGCTGCAATCTGGATACCATTTATTGAATCTCAAGAATTCCCTTTGCATGGCAAGAAGGGGTCAGAGGAAAGCAGCGCGGCAGCAGGAATGGGAGGTGGGGGCAGAGCGCTAGAGCAGCCGCCCACCCAGCTCCGGGTTGGGATAGAAGCGGGACTTCAGGGAAGAGCAGGGAAAGTCATTCTGGGGTTCTGGGGCATGCCACCCCACCCCGGGGCCTGGCCATGCAGGACGCAGAAATGGAGACTGTGGGCCTCAAGCCGGAAAGCCAGGGCACAGAGCAGACGCACCAACGTGGGGTCCTTTCGGTGCTTGCCAAAGTGTCTGCGGGGTCTGGAGCATATTAGGTTCTGGGTCCATGTCCATCAGCACGGTCAACTAGCAGATAGCACCAGTGGGAGGCACGGGCGGGGCACCCCGGCTCTCCGATTCGCTAGCACCCCCTGGCCTGGCTCTCCTGACCCAGCCTCAGTGGCTGCTCTCCCTCACCCCTGAAGCCCTGGGGAGACCACAAGAAGTCAGGACGAGGTCTGACCAGGGCATGGCTGCCCCTGGACCAAGTCCCAGGTGGCAGTTGTGCATGAAAGGAGGCTGAAGAAAAGAGGTGGGGGGCATCTTGGTAGACAGAGGCACACTCCGGGGCATTTTGTGCCCTCCAGCCGCATAGGCTGGCCTCTCTCGCTCTGACTTTTTTTTCGTTGGGTGTGGAACATGGGAAGGAGGACAGGGCGGAGGGTTAGGCCAGAAAGTCCCAGACAGCGAGGTAGGCAGCGTGGGTACGGCACTGCGCAGGGACAGGGGTCCTCCGGTTGTGTGGGAGTGTCACTTCAGTTACACCGAATCAGGAAAATCCCACCTGCCTATCTCAGGGACAGGCAAAGAGAGACGTGGGTAACGGATAGAAAACACGTTTAAAAAAGTATAAAGCGCTATTCAAACGCGAGGCAGTGTTGTCTTCAGAAAGATGTTCCCCTGGCGCGCAGCCTTCGTGACACCGCTCCATCTTGGCTTCCTTTTGCAGGCCACCTCTCAACCTTAGATCAGAAAGTTCCAGATGCCCGGTGGCCTCGCCGATCACACGCTGCAGCCCAGGGGCCAGGCGGGCGCCAGGGCGCTCTCCCAGTGCCCCCTTCCTGGGCGGTCTGGGAGCGCCCTGTGGCCCTTCCCTGCGCCGGGTGCTTCGCCCTGAGACCTTGTGGGCTGCCCGCTGTCTGGAGCGCAAACTCCCGGCCGCCGCCAGCGGGGGGGCGCGGAGGGCGGGGGCGCCGAGCCCGCCCCCCGGCCCGGCCTAGTCCCGCTCAGGAGGCGCATGAGGTGGCCTTGCCGCCGCCAGGCCCGGCCCCGCGCCACCGCCGTGCACGCGCAGGTGGTCCTTGAGCGACTCCTTGTAGCGGAAGCGCTTGCCACACTCGGCGCATGGGTAAGGCCGCTCCCCGGTGTGGATGCGCTGGTGTTTGAGCAGGTTCTGCTTGCGGATAAAGCTCTTGCCGCAGAGCGCGCACTGGAAGGGCCGCTCGCCTGTGTGCAGCCGCTGGTGGTTCTGTAGGTGCTCCTTACGGCTGTACGTCTTGTCGCAATCAGCGCAGCGGAACGGGCGCTCTCCGCGGTGCGTCATCTGGTGGCGAATGAGGCCCGAGTGGCAGTTGAAACTCTTCTCGCACTCGGCGCACGCGAATGGCCGCTCCTTGGTGTGGCTACGGTGATGGATGACCAGGCTCTTGCGCACACCGAAGCTCTTGCCACATTCGGGACATGCATAGGGCTTGCCTCGGCCACCATGCGCCTGAAGGGCCCGCCGGGGTGCCCCGGGACCCGGACAGCAGCCTCCGCAACCGCCGGGTCCGCCCCCCGGCCCACCAGACCCTCCACCGGCGCCCCCCGGCCCGCTCCCCGAGCCCCCAGGTGCCCCGCAGGTACCACGCTCTCCAGGCAGCACAGGAAAGCCACCCTCCAGACCCCCAACCACGCCCCGGCTTGGGGGACCACCCGTGCCCTCGGCTACAGGGGCCGGAGGGAGGCTCGGCTGCTGGGTCTGCGGCTGCGGTTGGGGCTGGGGCTGGGGCTGGGGCTGGGGCTGGGGCTGGGACTGGGGCTGCGGAGGGGCCGGGGGCGGGGGCGGAGGAGGGTTCTTCACCATCAGCAGGCTGTCACCTGGGGAAGGAAATGCGCAGAAATGATGATGCTGTCAGCACTGTCCCCTGGGGGAGGCCCAGATCTTAACCAGTTTGCCCCACTGCCATTAACAAGTCACTGGCTACCTGGGTCTGAGTTTCCCTGACAGATGAGGGGTGAACACGATGATCTGTCACATTCTGGTCTCCTGACCTGCCCAGAGCCACTGCTGAGCGCCACAGATATTGGCCAAGTAGGTGGCACAGAGGAAGGGCTAAGGGCTGGGGTGGGGTTGCTAAGAAGAAATCGCCTGCCAAATTAGAAAGAAATGCTCCCAGGCACAAAACAGAAACAACAGGGCTAAATTTTCTTTTGATTGACAGTTATTAACTTATCCAAGGAGAATTCCAGCTGAAGAGAAAGAATTTACCAGAACCTTCCCAAGGTGGAAGACGGTCCACATGCATATTGGAATTGGGTCCCCAAACCCTGGGATCACAGCATCTCACCCGGTTTGCTGTCCTGCTTCCACTAAGCAACTGCCATTCTGACTCGCATGGTGTGGGAAGCAGAGGAATGTCAGTCTGACCCTGGTTCCCAGTCCAGGAGCCTGACCTCTCTGGAGCCTGGCAGCATTATGTGGCATGGATCTCTGTACCTGTGTGGACGGCGCTGGCCAGCCTGCCTCCCTAGAAACAGCTAATGCTGGCCCTGGGCTGATGCTTTCTCATTGCTTTCTAAAGTGATGCTTCATGTCAAAGGGGTCCGCACTAAGATTAACAGCCGATTTCTCATCCAGAACTATGAAGGCAAGCAGGCAGTGGGATGACCTGCACCAAGAGCCCACAATTTACAGTGGATGCAGGTCCTGATGAGCTGTAGTCATGACCAGTTTGTTGGTGGTGTTTTTGTACATCTTATCCTCAGCAATACGTAATACACACAATTTTCTGAGGTTTTCAATCTCAGACGTTTACTAACAGATGCTCTATGTTATGATTTACTGATCCAAACACTGCCATGTATCAGGCAGTCTGGACCATGAAGTCTGGACTGTGGCAAGTTGTACACCGTTCAACTCAAACGTCATGTGACACTTGTACTGTGTACACACCCAACAACCATTAAAACTCCAACGTTATTGCTATAACTCTGATGCTGACAAATAATTAGATTTCAACGAGCTTGAGAATAATGAAAAACAAAAAAAAGAGGGGGGGAGGGATTTAACTTACATCAGAACCTACTTACGATGGAGTTGTTAGAACAGAAACCCACCACAAATCATGGACTACCTATATAAAGCAGTCCTGTAGGATAAGCACTAGATGGCTAACCACAAAGCTTGTGGTTCAAACCCACCAGCTGCTCCTTGGAAACCCTATACCAGGTCACTATGAGTCAGAACTGACTCTACAGCACTTAGCAACAACAAAAACCAATATACAATGCTGAAAGAAAAAAAACCCGTCAACCAAGAATTCTGTACCTGGCAAAATAGTGCATCGAAAAAAATGAGGACAAATGTAAAACATTTTCAGATAAACAAAAGCTGAGGGAAATTGCTACCACTAGACTTGGCCTGCGAGAAATGCTAAAGGGAGTTTGAAATGAAAAGACACTATACAGTTACTCGAAACAGTATGATGAAATAAAGCTCTCCTGCAGAGGTACTTATATAAAACTATACTGTATACTTGACACTACTGTCGTGATGCTCAAAACGGGACTGTTGGCCTCACTCACCTGCAAGGGAATGGAGAACTGTGGGTTCACAGCCTGAAGGCTTTACAGTACAAAGAAAAGGGATCATCAAAGGGGCAAGAAGAGCTGTTTCCTAAGAAGGCAGGCTGGCTGGCCATTTCACATGGGGTACAGAGCGGTCCAGTCACAGTGTTATCAGGTTTAAGGGCCAGACACCAGGTTCAGACACACACCTGCTGACCTTTCCACTGTAGACCACGTCTTTATGCCCTACAAGATTTTTTTCATACTTGAAATCAAATTGCAGGGTCAGTGGTTCAAACTCACCAGCCACTTCTCAGAAACCCTATACAAGGCCACTATGAGTTGGAAGGAACGCAATGGCACTTAACTACAACAGTTATGACTTGGGTGAAGGTTGACATGACAATGTCTTCCAGTCAATAATTCACACACAGGTTGTTTCCTCTCATTGACTGCAAGCCCATAAAGAAACACAGCTTATCCTATTTCCTGTTTCCTGTCCTCCTAAGTTTGACCTTGGGAAAATTCTGCCCTTTTGATCTCAAATTGTTGATTACTCTTACACGTGTCATTTTCCCCCTATCGACTTGTCTATTGTTGGAATGAAAATTAAGCCATGGGGGTGGGTAAGTTCTGATGTGTGGCTAAGGGCGATAGTCTCAAAGGTTCCACCAGTCTTTATTTGACCAGTAAACCTGATCTTTTTAATGATTTTTGAGTTCTGTTCCACATTTACAAATACATAAAAAATAATTACAAATCTGTTACTAGACACACAACGTATAAAGATGTAATTTGTGACAACAACAATATAAAGTGGGGCATGGAGCTGCATAAGAACAGAGTTTTCATGTTACTAAAGTTCATTGGGGTTCTGGTGCAGTGCTGTAGGATAAACACTAGACTACTAACCCAAAGGGCAGCAGTTCAAACCCACCAGCCATTCCTCAGAAACCCTATACAGTGCCTCTATGAATCGGAACCAACTCGATGGCACTTAACAACAACAACCACATTAACGTTAATTAGGTGTCAATTCAAACGATTAATTCTGAAAGTACGTTAGGTGTAACCTCCTTGATTACGTAAGGAAAATACCTAAAAAGTATACACAAAAGTAAATGAAAAGGGAATCAAAATGATTCACTACATTTCTCTCAATCCACAATAAAAACCTTAAAAAAAAAAAAAATTAAAAAAAAAAAAAAAAGAAAATGATTCACTCCAAAAGGTGAACTAAACAGAAAAGCAGTCAATAAAGGAAAAAATGAGGGACAAAAATGTCTAAGACACACAGAAAACAAACAATCACATAACTTCTTATCAGTAAAAGTTTAAATACAGACGATTAAACTCTCTAATCAAAAGGCCCAGATGGTCAGAATGACTTTTTTTTTCTAATGATCCCATTATACAACATCGACAACATGGTACCTACAAGCTAAACAAAGCTAATCAATGTCTGGGGCTACAGAAGCTGACTTATTGCATTGGACAAATCTTCACTCAAGACCTCTTTTAAGTGTTCAAAAGCAAAGGTGTCACTTTGAGTACTAAGGTGTGCCTGACCCAAGCCATGGGATTTTCAATCACCTCATAGATGTATGTTATAAGGAATCTGTAGAATAATTGATGCGTTTAAATTATGGTGTTGGTGAAGAATATTGTCCCTCTGTCTTGAAAAAGGTACAGCCCGAATACTCTTTAGAACCAAGGATGGTGAGACTTCGTCTCAGTACTGTGGACATATTACCAGGAGGAACCAGTCCCTAGAAAAGGACCACATACTTGCTAGAGGGTCAGTGAAAAAGACGACCCCCACCAAGATAAACTGACACAGTGGGTACAACAATGGACTCGTGCGGGACCTGGCAGTATTTGTTCTCTTGTGCACGGGGTCACTATGGAACTGACTCAGTGGTGCTTAACAACCATCACCAGAAGCTGAGAGACAAGACACAACTGGCTCATTCTCTAGAACCTAAAGAGACTATGGCACTGCCAGCACCCTGGATCCACACTTTGAGCCTCCAGAACTGTGGTAATAAATTCCTTTCCTTCTAAACCACCCACTTGGTGGTATTTCCTATGGCAACCCTAGGAAAGGAAGACGACCACCATCTGATGTTAGCTTACTGTCCATTTCTTCCCACACAATGTAAATCCCTGAGAACAGAGCCCTGGTTCTTACTCACTGCTTCCTCCAGAGCCCTATTAGACTACGGCATACAGCAGGCACTGAGCAGACATTTGTTAAGGCTGGGCCCCTGTTCTAAACCAGGGATGAGTAATGCAGAAGGTGCTTTCCCATCTGTCTGTGGTACTGGAATCTGTGTGGGTGGCCGTCCTAGGCTCCTGACCATCACTCAGTCTGGAAACACCACTAGACCCCAAAGTCCTATCTGATCTTTAGCATTTGGGAGGAAATGCCTGGAATTTTGGAGACAGGGGTATCTAAAAATGCTTCTCCTGTCTGCCCAGTCATGAAATCTTCTTAGCAGGTCCTTATTCCCTCTCTCAAAGTGAACCTCCTTCCATTTGTGAATGCTGAGTTGGAAGCCAGTACGCCTCATCTGTGTTTTCTATGATTTCAGGGGATCCAGTGCTGCGGTTGGATTCCTGGTACGGCGCTATAAGATCAGCACTAGACTGCAAACCACTAGGTTGGCAGTTCAAACCCACTAGCTGCTTCTCTGAAACCCTATGCAGGGTCGCTATGAGTCAGAACCGACTCTATGGTACTTAACAACAACAACAACAGTGCTGTGGTCACCAAAAACACCCAGGTGAATCCATGGTAAGGTGTGGCGGTAGAAAGGGACCAGAAGGGAGAAGTAGTGGGTAGATGATGAAATGCAGAAATGATGTCAGTCCCTGTGAATCCCTTCTCCTGCTCTGGTACGTAGACGGGGAAAGAACCCGGGCCTATTTAATGCAAAAGCCAGAGTTCACACTAACTGGACAGAGGTTTCAGCAAAAGAATCAGGGATTCTTTAATTCATATTTTACTATGTGTACACTGAATCCTTGCTCACCAACAAGTTACCCAGAGTTAACGTCTGAGAGGCATATTAGCCTGATTCTAAGTGTGTTAAATAATCCGTAAGCACAATTCTTGAGCTTATAGGTCAGTAAACTGGACTTCAAAATGAGACCAAGAGATCCAAGTTTAGCATGGTGTTAGCCCAGGCCCCTGTCCCCATCTGAATGGCAGACTCTTCAGATGGGTGTGCTTTAGTATGGGAGCCACCAGGTCCAGAGTCAGCAAAAGAGGAGCTTCTTCATGCACGTTGTTGGCCAGATGTGCAAGCCAGCTCCCCGCCTGGCACTGCGGGCTCTGAGCTCACCTGGGGCCCCTCTCTGCCCCTGGCCACACTTCCAAAGCTAAGGGAACAGTACAGTGCACAGACCTTTGAAAGACTGCCATGGACAGACAGGATCCTGCACGGGACAGGCTGAGGTGACTCCCCGCCCTGTCCCAGGTCACCACTGTTCCAATCCACACACCTAGGTGTCACTCACCAGTGCTAGAGTCTAGCCCCAGCTCCCCTTCCACGGAGTCACGTGGGCCCCACGGGAACGGCTGCTCCTCTTGCTTGATCCATGACAGAATGTCATGTGCTGAAAGCAGAGACTCTGTTGTTGTAGAAAAAGGCAGGTTTAGATCTGTTTGTTCTCATAAATACCCATCAAAGGTCTGAAGACCCGCTCACACTAAGGTCAGGCATCGGCAGGCAGAGCCGGGCCGGTTCTCGGCTTCCTTTCCTGACAGAACTTCCTGCCTGTGAAAACACCTTCACAAACCGGGCCTCGACTGCAGCACAGCCCAAAGGCAGTGTGGTAGAACCCCGGTCCGTCACCCCGAACCCAAGAGCTGTCCAGAAGCAGTGACAGGCCTCTGAAGGCACAGGACATTCATAAAAGCTGGGAGGAAGACTCTGCCTGCCCGCCTGGCCCTGCATCCCCTGGTTTCCTTGATGGAGCCAAAAAGCTGACGAATCACAGAGAGTCCGGGGTCTCTCTTCCAAGCTTCTCATACTGGCACATGTGTACTCACTGTCAAACCAGCTCAGCAAACATACATGGGCCCCCACAGACCCTGGTGGTATGGAACTCCCGTAGTGACCTTCTAGCATCCCGACACACCTGGCCCTTCCCCACACACTTCCTGGGTGACATCTATCTACTGTTCACTCAGGAGAAAATCCAGGAAATGTAAGTTCCTTTCTCTTTGACAAAGGAAAACACACAACTTCTCGAAGCTTCTCCAGCTACTTTTCTATCCACAACTCAATGATGAATTAATTGGTGTACTAGTGACCTTGACACAAGAAATTATCAACTTAATGATCCCTTCTGGAAAACCCTCTGCATTTTACTAGTGGTCACATCCCCAAATCTGCCCCATCATTGAAGGTTAGGTTTTGTGTTCCTTTATGAGTCTTTCTTAGCCTTGGACCAAAAGCAACTGAAGTTGGTGGTTTCCTAGCAGTTGTGAAAATTGGCTGAGGTTACGGTTATCTGTGAAAGTCTCTCTCACCTGAATTGGGGTCCGTTGGGATATCCCTCTCCACCAAATCCTGCTGGTCCCACACACACTGGTGGTCCTCCTGCTTAATCCGGGACAGCAGGTCCTGAGCGGAGATCGGGGAATCTGTCCGTGGAGATAATAGCAGAAGAATTAGAGGGTGGTGCCTGGAACTGGTGTTTAGCCGAAGTCTCTGATCTCATGCAATTAGCTCTTTCACCTAAAATGTAGGCATACTTAAATTATTCCAGGTAATTCAGAGTTTCAGGCAGATTGCCTCCAATTACTGGATCTTTTGCTACAAATGGAGTCCCTGAGTAGTGTAAACAGTTAGCATGCTGAGTTTCTATCTGAAAACTGGAGATTCTAGTCCACGCAGAGGTGTCTCGGAGGAAAAACCGAGCCATCAACATCTGAAGCATTGGCCATGAAAACTCCGTGAAGCAGAGTCATCCCAGTCGGAGCCAACCGCATGACCACTGGCTGGACATGCTGGACATGATGCAGCAATGGCTTGGAGCTATGGAGTTGTTTTGTAATAAAGAGACTTTATCTCCTTAGTGGGTTCATGCCCCAACACCATCACTGCTTTCTCCAACCTTACCTTGGAGTCCTCCTGAGAGATTGCCCAGGAAAACAATACCTTTCAGAAAGGTCTTAGTGCACTTGGTCATTTTCACAGAATTTGTCTAAGAAGTAGGCCGTGTTTTCTTTCTTCTGGAGTCTCTGATGGTTGTTTTACCCTTTGCTGCCTCAGATTTCCACAGCTCTCTCAGGAGATGGCGGCGGTGGGAGCTCCCAAAGCGGGAAATCCAGGGTTACCCTCCCTGAAACTACTGTCACTGTGGGGTGAGGCTCTGACTCGGGGGCAGAGGCGTCCCACCTGGGATAATAATCGTCGGTGCTATTTCAGCCCTCACAGAGTTTTCTCACCCCAGCAGAGTCCAGTTTCTCCAGGAGGAACTCCCAGAGGACATGCCACCGTGTCCTTGTCTAGAAGATGCTTGTGTAGAAGAGGAAGGCCTCCTGGGGCCAGAAACAGGCCTACTGACCTGTGTGTCCTCATCTGTTGTTGTTGTTAAGTGCCATCGAGTTGGTTCCAACCCTATAGAGGGTTTCCGAGGAGCAGCTAGTGGGTTGGAATTGCCATCCCTGTGGTTCGCAGTCCAATGCTAATCCCACAGCGCTACACCAGGAGTCCCGTGTCCTTGTCTAGTGGCCTTCAAAGTGCTCACAAGTGGTAGTTCCACCATGATTCTCAAATTTAATTTATAAAATTTGCCATTTTAACTATTTTTATGAGTACAATTCAATGTCATCAAATCACATCCGCCATGTTGTGCAACCATCATACGAAGAAGACAGGGAACCACACAAGCCAAGCCTTTCTCTGTGGGCAAGTCATCAGTGCTGTGTGTCTGTGTGTGTGTAAGATTCCAGTCTCTCAGCGTAACTCAGGGCCCACAGCCGTCCACCTCTAGCTGTGCCCATGACCGGGCACACCAGAGGACACGTGGAAACCTCACTCACCAGTGATGGGCTCTGTGGGGAGCTCCCTGTCTTCCACACCCCGTTGGCCTCGGACACTCAGGGCTTCTTCACGCTTCACCTGAGAGGATACATCCTGTGTGGGCATCAGGGGCTCTGCTCCTGGGACAAAGAGGCACACCGCTCAGTGTTGTTATTCTGAATCTCTGCTGCCAGGGCACTCTCGGGGTGGGGACTGAATAAACCCCAGTCACTGAGCACAGCCATAGTACTGGTCCAGGGAACAGAGTTCTTGGGTGTGCTCAAGGTGGGGTAGGGGACAGGGGTCCAAGGTCTTGTTATGAGGGACAGAGTACTGGGTCTGACCGGGCATGGGGCAGGCAGAGGGCTGGACAAGGGTCCTGGGTCTGGTCAGGGGAGGCTAGAGATGTCGTGTCTGGTCAAGTAAAGGACAGTGGTATTGTGCTCCTATGGCAACTTTGGGGGTCCCCAGAAGCAGAAGATACCGGAGCAGAAAGCTTAAAACGAGAATGGGCCAAAGAGTAAAGGTGGATAAGGTCAGAGAGATATTCTGGAAGTAACCCCATGCTGGTTTAGGACTAGGCCATGAGTTTGACTTCTGTGAGGGGTCAGAAAGAGTCGACTGAGTTCTGGCCAGCACCCATTCTCTCTCTTTCTCTCTCTCTCTCACACACACACAAACACACACACACAGTATGTGTGTATCATTGGCAAGAAGTTAGACTAGGCAAAGAGGCACACAACCACACTCCACTGTCAGATGGGTAATCCATATCCATAGTGTCCTTATGCACAAGACTGTGACCAATCTCCTCCACAGAACCTAAGTCATGACAAGCAGGCCTGTCCTCTCACGGTGGCCTATAGTGCAATGTGCTGTCCTTGCATGGGACAGATCCCACAACAGGAGTGGTCACTGGAGGAGGAAGCAGAAGACTGGAATTCTGCCTCTAACGCTGCCACCAGTTCAAAGAACAGTCACCAAGTCTCTCTGGGTTCTGGTCCCTCATGTCCTCTCTACCTAAAGATGCTTGTTCCATTCAGAGTAGAGCGGTGACATTATAGTTCAGTGGGTCACTGAGGTGACAATGCTTTCAACAGAAGAAGCTACCACACAAAACCAGGTACAACGTCAGACACACACAGACCTTGGCTTGGACTGGGAAGGAGTTGTTAGTATGAGACACGCAGAGGCCAGAGGAGGGAATGGGGAACGGCTGCTAAGGAGTCCAGAGCTTCTTTGTAGGGTGATGAAAATGTTCTGCAACTAGAACTGTCCACTCTAGAAAGGTCATGGGATTTAGACCGTATCTCAATGCAAGCAAAGGTTGGTAAGTAGAGAAGGCTACCTTCTAATGAAAGCATCATTTTGGAAATATGGTGTCCATTTGAAGAGGGCACAGAGAAAAGAAAGCTCAACAGGTGCACACCTTCACCAAGACCAGCTCAGGGAACTGTCGCCCACACTTCAAAGGACACCTTGGTGAGTCTAAGCAGAGCCAGGATGAGAACCCCAGGAAGTCTGACCAAGTGCAACGTTCTCAGAGAACTGGTTTCCTGAGGAAAAGGCTCGGCCGATGTGTGGTGTGTACGTGTCTACGAAAGACCGGTACCATCACACAAGAGGGCTGAGCTCAGCCCAAACACCTTGAGCCTGGGCCTGGAGTCCTCAGACTGCTCCCAGATCTACAGCTTCTCACTGTAGGTCCACCCAGGAGGCCTGGGACCTAGTCCATCCAACTTACCTGTGACTCCAGATCTACAACGCTTCACCCCAAAACCAATGCCCACCAAGGGACCCCACACCCTGAATGTCTTTCTGAGAGGTGCTTCCTTAAAGGCACACACGGACAGAGGGCAGGGGTGGCTGGCTTTTCCTCTTCTGTCCTCCCTCTATCTGGGCTGTGACAGCCACCATCACCTGTGTCCGGGTCCACTGGGATGTCTCTCTCTTCGGGGTTCCGCTGCTCCCACACACACGGCTCCTCCCTTGGTTCAACCTGGGGTGGAGCAGCTTGCTTGGGTGCTGGGTTCTCCGCATCTGAAACAAACCAGGAGGGAAGGAAGTGTTGGATGGAGTTTATCAAAGAGTTCAGATCAGGGGTGATGACAAAATTCCATCCATCCCAACCTCCCATTCCCCAGGGCCCTCAGCGGCTGCCGTTTCCACGGCGAGGAAGTCAACAGATCCGCAAGTTCCTAGTATAGGACTAGCTGGTGTCTGGAAGCTAACAGTAGACCAAGGCTGTGGGACACTGAGGTGCACACAGTGGCACCTGGCTGACCCGTAGTCATGTGACCTTGAGTTCTAGGTGACAGACCCTGCTACGGAAGTCAGGAAATCCTGACTTCCTGCCACTGAGAACTAATCATCTCTTGAGGCTCCCTCTAGTATAAACATGAAGCCACTTGCCCCGGAGATGAGAACATTAGTTAAAAAGCGTTTCACAGCCTCTCCAGGCAGCAGCCTTACCCAGAGACATCAGGGTTTTGTAGTTCTCCTTAACCAGGTTGTTGTACAGCTCCTTCTGCCATCCATCCAGGCTCTTCCATTCATCCTCAGAGAAGTAGACAGCAATGTCGACGAAGGTCACTGGAACCTAGGACAGTAAGAGTGGCTTTCGTGCCTCCTGGCCAGCCCTGCACACGCACCACCCTGCGCTGTCCTGGTGTATTTGTTCCTCACTCTGTACACCCTGGCCTGCCTTCACGGTTCCAATAGTCTGTCCAATCCACTCCTGATAGCCTCGTGCTTCCAACAACACCCGTGGTCGATGCGACCTTACTTGGGGGAAGCGAGTCAGCATATCACCAAACCATGTCCCTCACGTTAAAGGGGTACTTGGAGATGAAGCTGCGTCAACGTGGGCTGTGGGCACAGTTCTCAGAGTGGCATTATATATAATTCAATGGATCAAGTGTAGGAGACCCTGTTTCTCCAGCCGGGCCACCTCTGGGGGCACTGGGACTCTTCACTCAGACGTGTGGACTCTATAGCCGAAGCTGGAAGGCAGCCTTTCTGTTGCGCTCGGCGCTGTGTTCCAGCCTCCAGGGCCGATGCATATTTGTGGAGTTTGGTGGAAGTTCCACAGTTGTTCAAGGCTCTGAGAATTCATGGTATTCTAGGCAGCTGTTCTTTCCATGTGGCCAGGACCCTCCCCTAAACTCCTGCCGGCCACTTGCCTTCACAATCATTCCAAATGGGCTCACTTCTGCCATGTTGTTGTGAAGTGCCATCAAGTCGTTTCTGACTCACAGAGACCCTGTATAGGTTTTCCAAGTAGCAGCTGGTGGTTTTGAACTGCCAACCTTGCAGTTAGTAGTCCAGTGCTTACCCTACAGCACCACACCAGGTCTTCTCTATGCCATTAGCATGGGACTTCTCTTCTTGATCATTAGTCCTCAACCTTCACCTTCGCATCCTGAGCCAGCCAGCCAGCTCCATCTGAAATCCTAGGCTTACTTACAGCCAGCCTGTCTCTCAGCCCCATTCAGGGCCAGAATCCCCAGCAGGGTGAGTCATCCCTGGCGAGGCTCTGGCCCTGTTCCCATCACGGGACACCTCACTGTCCAGTTCCAGAACCAAAATGAGGACTTGCCACAACCTGGACCTCTCCCATGCTCTGGAGCCAAACCCCAGAGGGAAATGCACAGACCCCATTTCCATGATAATGCCCTCCCTGTTCTAGACAGAGCTCAGGAAACTCCAGGGGCCACAAGCAGCATCAACCCAAGTGGTCTCCCTGGAGGAGGCTTCCCCAGCACGCCGCTCCCAGGATGCTCACTCACCAAGCTCTCACTGCCTCCCCTTCACATCCTGTGTCTGGTCTCAGGAAGACAGCCACGGCTCCCTCTTGTCCAGCCAAAGCCCCTGGTGGTGCCCCTCACTTTTCCTCCAGCTTGGGAAGGCAACCTAACAACCTTTCCTTTCAGGCCTTCAGTCTCTCTCCTTGATCGCTACTCCCCTTCAGGGTCACCCCAGCCAGACAAGAAGCTCGTCAGCACGTCAGCCCACATTACCACTGTCTCCCATTCTCCAGCCACCGAGACCTCCGTCTGTGAGACCCTCAGCTCAGCTCTCACAGTTTCTCCGGCACAATCCACAGTCACCCCCTCACTGCCCTCCACTCTGACACCACAGACGTGATGATGATCCTCACACTTCCTGACCTGCCTGCCAGATGGGCCACTTCTGGAATATTCCATACGCCTGTCCCTGCTGTGTTTCTTCACTACACACTCCCCCTCCTCCAGACCCGCGGCTCTGCCCTGGCCCTTCTCCGCATGCCCACGGCCTCTTTCACATGACCCGCCATCCGCTTCCTGCTCTCTGTCAGATTCACACCTGACAGCCTCTGAGGAGCTGCATCTGATCATCAGGTAAGTACCTCACACTAAATGGATCCAACACACCAAGCCCTCTGCCTCACTCCACCATCTCTGTGAAGGGATAGAACACTAGGACCATACTCTCTCAGTAGCAGATACGAAGAGCCTTCAAAAAATTCATGGAGCAAAATGTTTTCTGATCTAGTGCTGGAAAGTACTCAAAATGTGGCTGTAACAATAGCCAAGCGTATTAAAGATGGTGAAGATGGTACAGAAAGAGCCAGTGTTTTGTTCTGTTGTATGTGGGATTGCCATCAGTAGGAGGTAACACAACATTGCTAATAACGAAGCATGTGGAGTGAGAGTTGAGGAGTACTTTTGATTTTAAGAAGAATGGGGGGAAGATGAATGCTAAAAAAGGCAAAAACAACAAATGTCCAACAAAGTCAGTATTGAGAATCCAACATCATGCCTGAACATTTAGCATAACAATAGTGATATGTATTAATTATATTTAAGATTGTATTTTTTTTTTCAGAATTAAATTATACTAATTTCAAAAAAAAATGAATGGAATTAGAAGAGAATGGAATTTTTGTAAGAACTTGCTGAAGCCCCCTCATACACATCACGTCTTTGCAGCTTCTCATGTACGGTCTAAGAGGCACAACCTTCCCAGCGCTCTGCTGGGCATGGCTGCAGAGAGCCCGCTGGCTCGCTGGACAGAAACAACTCCCCACACACTATGCAGGAATCAATAGACAGAGAATATAATCCAAGAGGCACAAAGGATCAGAAAGGTGACATCCTTCCTGGAATGTGACAGGTAAAGAGAATGTACAGCGCACACTGTGGACTAGCGTTCTCACGATAGGTTCCCTTTAAGATAAAACAAATGGTTCAAAATTACATCTGCAAATTCTTTAACACTCCCTTCAGAAGGTGTTGCCTAGTCCTCCTTCCCTCAAGTGTGAGTGGTACTTAGTGAAGCGACTCACTTCTAAGAAGCAAACAAAGCAAAGCCAACAGTGTACACTTCCGAGACTAGATCTTAAAAGATGTTATAGCCTCCATCTTGGTTTCTCTCAGATTACTCCCTCTGCTCTGGGGATATTCAGCTGATGTCCTGAGATCCTGAGAAAGCTCAGGCAGCGTTACTGAGGAACCGAAGCCCTCTGCCAACAGCCAATGAGGAACCGAAGCCCTCTGCCAACAGCCAATGAGGAACCGAAGCACCCTGCCAGTAGCCAATGAGGAACCAACAGCCAATGAGAAACAACAGCCAAGAGAGTGCACCGCGTTCAAAGTAGCTCTTCCAGCCCCAGTCAATCCTTCAGATAACGCAGCCTGGCCAAGAGCTCGAATATTAGTTTATGAGACTCTGCAAACTAATTACAGCTGCTCCCAAATGCCTAACTCACAGATACTTCAAGATGATAATTATTTAGGCTGCTGAGTGTGGGGGTAATTTGTCATACAACAATAGGGAGTACAAACATTTACACAGTGTTTTCCTAATGTGGTGAAATGATTTCCTTTATGTGGCCTTTGCCCTCGGATCTTTGGAAAAAACAGTTTTAAGAGATTTCCCCCCTAAATGCTACGGAGTTACCTTTGTCCTAGCTTTCTACCTCAGATGGTTTGATACGTTCGTCTAGGTTAATTGACATTTCCTTGGTGTAGCTGTAAACTACTTGATGGTTTGATATTTTCTGTCTGGGTCTGGGCTTCAGCCTGCCCTGTGATTGGTCTGCTTTATGCACCTTGCTGGGATTAGTCAATATGCTCATGCAAATGAAGTGCCTGTCGTAGTTTAGTATGGATTACACCTCAACATAAACAAAGCAAAACCCCTAACAACTGGACCTATAAGTAACATTATGATAAACGGAGAAAAGACTGAATTGCCAAGGATTTGTTTTACTTGAGTCCCCAATCAATGTCCAAGGGAGCAGCGGTCAAGAAATCAAATAGCATATTTCACAGGACAAATATTCTGCCAAAGACCTCTTTGAAATGTTAAGAGCAAATATGTTGTCACTTTAAGGACTACTAGGAGCTCTGGTAGCGTAGTGGTTACGAATCGGGCTGTGAACCTTAAGGTCAGCGGTTCGAAACTACCAGCCGCTCCGTGGGAGAAAGATGAGGCTTTCTACTCCCGTAAAGATTTACACCCTCGGAAACCCTGTACGAGGTCGCTATGGGTCGGAATCGACTTGACAGCACTTAACAACAACAACAAAAAGTGACCCAAGTCATGAACTTTCCAATCACTTCATATGCTTGTAAAAGTTGGACAATGAATAAGGAAGACTCAGTGAGAACGGATGCATTTGAACTGTGGCAAACAGAACTGACTATACCACAGATGGCCAAAAGGAGGAACAAATCCGTCTTAGAAGAAGTCCGGCTAGAGAGCTCCTTAGAAGTGAGGATAGCAAGACATCGTCTCTCATACTGTGGACATGTGGTCATATGTGGACATGTGACCCTCTACACTTGGTAGAGGGTCATTGAAAAAACAGGAAGCCCCCCCAACAAGAAGGACTGACTTAGTGGTTCCAACAATGGGCTGAAACATTGTAACAAGTGTGAAGATGGAACAGCCCAAACAGTGATTCCTTCCCTTGCACATGGGTTTGCTGTAAGTTGGAATTGACACAACAGCACCCAACAATGACAATATGCAACTGAAGTGACTGTCTTACTGAGAGAGGAGTGGTCAGTTTGTGACCCGGGTGGGAAGGCCACGCCTTAAAACTGACCAGGAGTTTACTTACATACCTCCACCCCTGCCCTGGGGAGAGCCACATACCTTGGGCACCTCACCCTTGCTGCCCGGGGGCAGCCGCAGGATCCAGAAGTTTCTATTCCTCAGCAGGTTCTCCATGTTCTCCAGCCTCCGCTGCAGCAGCCCGTACTCCTGCAGCAACGTCCCCAGCACGGCCCACTTGCTCTCCATGTGGTTCCCGAACTCCACGGCCGTCTTCTCGCAGTCGGCCAGCTTCTTCTCAGCTGTTCCTGTGCGCCCCTCCAGGTTCAGCAGCTGGCTGGCTTGGGCATCCACCTTCCTCTCCACTGCTTGGATGGCGGCCACCACGGTCCACAGAGAGATCTCGGCAGTGGGTAGCTGGGGTTCACGCATCATGCGGTCAGGGAAGACGGGGGCCCGGTCTGGGAAAGTGGGGAACTGGAAAGGCACTGGCCGCCGAGTGTCCATGTCCCACTCCTGAGCCTGTGGGCAGAGGCAGTGAGACTCAGATGAACAGGGGTAATGCTGGCACCAGCGGGGCTTGGCAGAAGACGGCAAGCCTGTAGCATCTGACTACTTGTTCCTGTCCCCAGGCCACAGCTGGAGCAACCACCACCTTCCTCCTATCCCTGCCTGCTGGCCAGCCCAGCTATTACACCACAGCCTGAACCCAAGGCTGTGACCCCGACCCAGAATGCCACATGCCACTTTCTTTGAGGACAGCTGCTTTCCTCAAGAGCTGGACTTCAGAATGAATTGTATGTGCCATGTGTTTGGGTTTTCAAAGAAGGAGGTTTAACATCAGTTAGCGCTCTCTAATCTTCCCAGCCATCTGTGTGTGAGCAGGTCTGGGCAGGAATGAGCATTCTGCTTCACGATGAAGAAGTGGCGGTCACTCTGTGTGACCCACACCCCTGCAGCAGAGTTGTGCCACGTGCCCAAAGTGACCTAGAGCCGATCTCGGGCAATGCCGCTGCTGTGCCCACGAGGGTAGGACGGGACCCGAAGGAAGGGCAGGGAGCAGCTTTGTTTTCCATATAACATCACATATTTACAAATATTTCCCAAGATGAATGTAAGTTTACCCTAAACTGTCCCTTGTCAGGAGGGGGCAGCTCCCCCACTAGGCACCTGGATGGGCTGGGGGAAAGAGCAGACCCTAAGGAACACCCTGCTTCCTGGGGCTGGGGGTGGTACCTATGGTCTGGAAAAAACACCCTTTAAACCAGTTGTCATCAAATTACTTTAACTCGTGACAATCAGATGTGTCGGAATAAAACTGTGTTCCACAGGGTTTTAATGGGTGGGTTGTCGGGAGCAGACTGCCAGGCTTTCCTTGGAGGTACCTCTGGGTGGACTCGAAACTCCCACCTCTGGTCTGCAACCAAGCGCTTTTGTCGATGGCCCTGGGCCTGTCCTAACCTTCCCTACAGATTCCTCAGTGTGGACATGAACCCTGCGAGTGGTCAGAGGGGCACTGAATTCCTGGCATGGCACTGGCCCTCCTGTGCCGGAGACCTGAGGTGTCCGCTCCCCTCCCTGCTCAGGGCCGTTAGTGCAGGGGGCACTGCGTACCTTCCTGGGGTGACTCTGAGATGGAAGACCAGAGTGAGGTCACTCACTGGGTCCAGGGAAGGAAATGGGGTGCCAATAGGGGCTCAGACGTCAGCGGCCAGGCTGGTGGTCACAGATTTGGGTACTAACACGGAGAAGTGACCTCACAGCACAGCCCCGAGAGCAGGGCAGGTGTCTGAAGAGACCCTTCAGAGCTGCCTGACCTTTACTCTGAGTCCATCCGGGCACAGCTCCCACAGGGACGGCGGCCGTGCAGATATTTCTGGGGTGCACAAGGCCAACAGGCAGAGCCCGGATTAGCAACTCAGGAAGGTGTGTGGCAGGGTGTAGACGCCTGTCTCATCCCCCTCCCCCACCCAGGAGTTAGCTGAGTCGGAAGGGATGCTCAGGAGATTCTAACTTCCGCCCAGTCCACCAGGCACGGGCAGAGGCAAAGGCCTCTCCACTGCCCATCCGCTCTCATTATATTTGGTTAAAAGCCGTAGAACACCTGAAACCCGCCAGCTGCTTACAGGGCAAGCGGGGATGAGGGATTCCTGCAGCACACGCGCAACCGTGCGCCACAAACACACCCACACTTGTGCACACGCAGACACGTGTGCACAAGCTCACACATGCGCACACTTGCACACGCACAAGGTACGCAAGAACACGCACACGCGTGCACATTCACAGGGCACACGCGCGTGCACACCCAGGCCAGGCTTAAGCTCCGCCGCAAGGCTCCGACAAGGCTGGGCCTGGACCGTTGAGGACCCGGCTGGTGTCACATCCCCGAGTGACCGGCCGGTGGGAGTCACCGAATCTCAGTGGCGGCAGGGCCGGAGCGGGACGTGGGGCCGTCCGGGGCTCCACGCGGGGAGCGCACCTGCCTCCAGGCCCTCTCGGCCCCCATGCCGGCCCGCCTGGGCCCCGCGTCCGACGTCGGCGTCACCAAGAGCTGGCCAGGCTCTCCGGTCCCGGCGTGCTGCATGGCGCCCGGCCGCACCCCAGCCCGCGCGCACCCCGGAATCCTGCTCCCTGTCCCCGTCCCGTGCACCCCGACCCGCGCACAACCTTCGCCCCCGCGCCCCGCGGTCCCCCGCGCCCAGCCATCCCCGGAACCCTGCGCCCGGCGACGGGGAGGCGGCCGCGGCCCACCTGCATGGGGGGCATCCCCTCAGCCATGTCCGCGCGCAGCGCCGGCTCCGGTGGGCACACCTCCTCGGGGGGCAGCGCCTGCGCCCAGCTCCAGCCGCCGCCGTCCAGCCCCAGGCCCTGGATGCCCAGCTGCTGCGGCTGTGGTCGTGTTGACACAAACTGCATCCTGGGAGCGCGGTTCCCCTCGCGGCCGGCGGAGAAGAAGGAGGTTCCCCGGCGCCGTCCCCGCGCCGGGCCGGACAGCTCCATCTACAGCCCGAAGGAGCAAACTGCCCTGGGCGCCCGCCCCGCCCGCAGTCCGCCGGCCGGCCGGCTCCACGAGGCACGACCCGCCCAAGACGTGCGAGTCCGTCTGTCCTCGCTTGCGTCCTTCCTGCCGCTCCCTTCCCTTCCACCCCCCTCCCCGCCCCCAGTGCACCCGGGAGATCCCGGGCCTGCGCCGTCTGCGCCACCGGAGTCACCTGGGCTACTGTGTCCGAAGAGGCCGGAGAGCAGGGGCCACGTTCTATGGAGACCTGTAAACGCAGGTAGACACACCTTTGGAACTTCGGTGCCAGGACAGGAGAGGGGAACTTCTTTCCTTTCTTCTTTCCTTCCGCAGGTATTACTGAGCACTCACTGTATGCCAGAGTGGGTTTTATAGTGGATCCACAAGGGCGTGGATTCCACTGGCCAGCCATGAGTCCACTGGCTTTCTCTGAGCCGATGAAAACAAGGTATGTCCACAGTAGTAAAGACTGAAAGAGAGCCAAACCTGGCACAGAGGAGGCACTCAGCAGGTAAGTCCTTGTGACCACACTAAAAGTAATGTCCACTCTGTTTTCCTAAATGACCAGCCCGCCTCATCTACCTCATATGCATGTGGAAGGAAGCTAGACAGTGAGTAAGACCGGAGAAGAATTGATGACTCTAAATTATGGTATTGGTGACTATTAAATGTACTAAAAGAACAAACATCCCTGTCTTGGAAGAAGTACAACCAGAATGTTCCTTGGACATGTGATTAGGAGGGACCTCGTGCTTGGTAAAGTAAAGGATCAGGGGAGAAGAGGAAGACCCTCAATGAGATGGACTGATACAGTGGCTACAACACTGGACTCACACATGGCAATGATGGTGAGGAGCACACAGGACTGGGCAGTGTTTTGTTCTATTGTGCACAGGGTCGTTATGAGTTGGAGCTAACTCTACAGGCCCAACAACCACCACCATCATGCTGTGACAGAGAGATGATCATCTCAGAGCTGTCCCAGGCCAATACCTGTAGCTCCAGGTCACCGAGAGAGAAGACGTAGTTCTTAGTGATTTAAAGGGCTACCATCAGCCAGGAGTCCTGTGCTCCAGACTGAAAAGCTGTTTGAACGGCAAGGTGTGTAGTTCAAGCTCACCAGCTGCTCCTCAGAAACCCTATACAGGGTCGCTATGGGTCGGAACCGACTCGACGACACTTAACAACAACAACATCAGCCCTGTGAGCTGAGTGTCCGTCATCCATCAGGCATATACGAACCAGTGGTGACTGTGAGGCGGCTAATTCACAGAGAAGCTAATGGAACACGGGGATGAAATGGATTATGAAAGATTCACTGTTAATAGGCTTACTTGGAAGGGAAGGACAGAGACCTTGTGGGTGGGAACTGGCTGCTTTTCACCTCCTTGCCCAGAAATTCTGTAGCTGCTTCTCTGGACAGGGTGTCTAAAGTGGTAGATGCTAAGGATGTAGGAGAGGAAATGCCAGTGCCTTCCTGACCTGTCTCCTCAGGATTTCTGTGCCCTGTGTACTACTCCATAGCTTCTCAACAACTACAAGCTTTGTGTGAGGGAGGAGACCTCTAGGTTTACTTATAGCTAAACGAAGAGGGTAACCAGGTCTGCCCTTCTAGCTTGGGGTTTCCCCAAGCCTAACACTCGCAGTGTGGTGCTCTAGGATCATCACTGGACCAGAACCACAAGATGGGCAGTTCAAATTTAGCAGCAGCTCCTTGGAAACCCTGTACATGTCGCTATGAGGCAGAATCGACTCAACAGCTCTTAACAACTACAACATGCAGGAAAATGGCAGCTGCAGACCCTCGAGCTGCCCCACCACTGGCACATCCAGGGCTCCAACTCCCGACATCCACTTTAGGACGCTGTCCCTGAGTAATGCCGGTTGCCCAGGAAGGCAGCTCCTTCAGTCATACCCTATGAAACTGAAACTCAGGGGGCAGTCTTTATGGAGGGAAGAGGGACTGGGGTGGGGAAGTTCCAGGCTGCTGAGAAGCAGCAGAAAGTATAAATGTGGGGTCACTAAATTTTAGGGCAATCTTGCCCCCAAATTTGATGAGATTTTAATATCCCTTTTTCAGATCTACCTTTAGGCACCATTTTTATTCCAACTTACATGCAAACACATGTTCACTCCCTCTCACTTCTGAAAATTCTGCTTTAGATACCTGTTTAAAGTTTGGAGTCCTGGTGTGGCACTGTGAGATCAGCACTAGACTGCTAACCACAAGGTTGGTAGTTCAAACCCACCAGCCATTCCTTGGAAACACTATACAGGGTCACTGAGTCAGAAACTGACTTGATGGAACTTTGAAGCAACATTTAAAGTTTGGGGAAAATACTAAGTTCACATATGACAAGCATGTGAAAACTAGAAAATGAATTTTAAGGAAGACTGGAGAAGACTTGATCCATTTGAATTATGGTACTGACAAATAATATTGAAGGTACCATGGACGGCCGGAAGAACAAACAGATCTATCTTGGAGAAAATACAGCCAGAATGCCCCTTAGAGGTGAAGATGGCGAGACATGATATCAGGAGGGAGCAGTCCCTGGAAAAGGACATCATGCGTGGTAAAGGGTCAATGAAAAAAGAGGAAACCCCTCAACCAGACAGACCGACACAGTGACAGCAGCAATGTGCCCAAACACAATTGTGAGAAGGCTACCGGACCAGGCAATGTTTCTTTCTGTTGTGCGTGTGGTTGCTCTGAGTCAGAACTGACTTGATGGCACTTAACGACAAAGTTTGGGGAAAATTCTAATCTTTCTATTGCCTTCAAGTGGACTCGGACTCATAGTGAAGATACAGGCCAAAGGAGAGCTGCCCCACAGGGTTTCCAAGGTTTCCAACCTTCATGGAGGCGGACAGCCACAGTGTTCTCCCACAGGACAGCTGGTGGGTTTGAGCCACCCAATTTCAGTTGGTAGCTACATCGCTAACTACTGTTCACTAGTGCGCCCAAGTTTATTCTTATTGATTTCGGTTAGAGGGTGCAGGATGGGCACCATTTCCTCCTGTTTTACGGGGGTTGTAATGAGTTGGAGCTATTTCTTTACCCCCTTGATAAGCTTTCATGCGGCAGGTGAGTGGTTCGGAGTGGCTTCTAGTCCTTTCTTAAGGATTCCATAGCATCTTTCCTCAGTCTCCCAAAAACAGTTAGTTGGGTGACTGAGTAACACAACAGACACTCGGGACTCTGGAACTAGACATCGGAACAGTTTGATTTTGGTAGCATCTTCCCAATTGCTAGTGCAAACCTGAGGACTGAAAGTGGCCAAAACTCAGTGAATATCAAGTCCAGTGCTCTTGCAGAATTCTACCGATTTTTCTAAATGCACCTGTAATGATCTCATCCCTTTTGTCCTTTACAAGGCACTAGATTCACCAGGAGAAGCCAGGAAGACCCAGGACGTAAGCACCGGGATCCATTGTCTCGGTGCTTCCCAGGTGCTCCCCAGTGTCCTGCCAGGATCGGGCACAGCAGGTGTCTGGACACAGCCTCAGAACTTCCTTGTCCACCATCCCGTAGCCATCTTCCTTCCCTCTTCCCGTTGTGGATTCAAAGACCTTTTTACAGTCTCCAGCCCACACACACCCTCCTGCTTCAGGAAAGCCTGTCTCCAGTCCAATAATTCATTTTCTATAGATGCTGTTGGTTAATGTGCTGGACTGCAAGGTCGGTTTGAATAGCACAGTTGGAGGTTGGAGCTCACCAGCTGCTACTCGGAAACCCAATACGGGGTCATTATGAGTCAAAATGCCTCCACAGCACTTACCAACACACAACATGCGCTTCTAGGAGTCCTGGTGTGGTGTTGTAGGACAAGCACTGGGCTGCTAACCGCAAGGCTGTCTGTTCAAACCCACCAACTGCTCCATGGAAACCCTATACAGGGTAGCTATAAGGCAGAATCGACTCAACAGAGCTTAACAAGAATGCTTTTCTAAACACATTAATGTCCACATTAGAATCACGTGAAGGACACTTTAAAAATGTCCAGGTCCCTTTAAATTACACCTAAGTGGGAGTACTGGTGTGGCGCTGTGGTTTAAAGTGCTGAACTGCAAGATCGGTTTGATCTACAAGGTTGGCGGTTCAAGCTCATTCGCCGCTCCTTGGAAACGTTGTACAGGGAGGGTCGCCATGAGTTGGAACTGATTCCATCAGCAGTTAAGTAGAAGTGGGCTCCAGTGGGGAGGTTTTCTAAGCCCTTCAGCAAGGCAGCTCTGAAGGAACCCTGGTAGCACATTGGGTTACAAGCTGGGCTGCTAACTACAAGGTCAGCAGTTCAAATCTACCAGTTGCTCCTTGGGAGAAAGATGAGGCTTTTTGCTTCTATAAAGATTTATAGCCTCAGAAACCCTATATAGGGTTGCGATGAGTCAAAATTAACTAAACAGCACTTAACAAGAATGCTCTTATAAACACATTAATGTGCACATTAGAATCACTTGAGGAGTGCTTTAAAAAAGCCCAGGACCTTTTAATTTATACTTAAGTGGGCTCCTGTGTGAATATTTTCTAAGCCCCCCACCCCCCACCGCCCCAGGCAGCTCTTTAGCAGCCCTGGTAGCACATTGGTTTACAAGCTGGGCTGCTAACTGGAAGGTCATCAGTTCAAGTCTACCAGCCACTTTATGGGAGAAAGATGAGGCATTCAGCTCCAGTAAAGATTTACAGCCACGGAAACCCTATCCAGGGGCACTATGAGTCGGAACCAATTCAATGGCACATCACCACCACCACCACCACCACCGCCGCCGCCACTGGACAGCTTTTAATGTTCAAAGTTAGAACAAGCCAGGGCAACAGAAGGTCAGCCTGCCTGTTGTTTCTCATGTTTCAACTCAGCCTCACAAAAAGGGTAAATGGTGGTGGTGGTGGTGATATGCCGTGGAGTCGGTTCCAACTCCTAGCGACCCTGTACGGGGTTTCTGAGGCTGTAAATCTCGACAGGAGCAGAAAGCCTCATCTTTCTCCCGTGGAAC